AGAGAGAGAGAGAGAGAGAGAGAGAGAGAGAGAGAGAGAGAGAGAGAGAGAGAGAGAGAGCGCGCGAGAGAGATCAAAATGTGCAATAAATGAAGTGGGACACTTTTAGGATTCTTTGGATGACAGCATGAGATTCATTTGAATAGTTCAGTGTGAGGCGAAAAAAAAACGTTCAATTTATTTTCAGATGACAGGAAAGGGAAAATCTAAACTATGATGAAACTTTTTGGAGCCGAGGGGTGAGGGAGGAGGGGCTACTTGACTTTTCCATGAACTCATTTTTATTCTCATAACATCCGACTCCCTGCTCGAATGAGAAGATCCCTGAGGCAAACAGAGCAGGGGAAGACTGGGTCTAGTGGGCCAGGAGCCTACGGACTCAGCAGCCATTAGTACTCAGCAGCAGGCCTGACCAACTGTCTCCATGTAGACACAAAGCACTTCGCTCAGAGCAGTTGGAAACTGTCCGAGCTGTCAGGGGAATGAATGACTTGTCACAAGACACTCACTTTCCACCAAACAACTGCAGGCTTAGATTTATTATCCAATGTAAATGAAAGTGTGCTGTGTAAAATCCGTAAAACTATAGTTATAAAGATAGAAATGTCAGAATATTTTGGAAGGATTAAATCAAAGTATCGAGTAATGTACATCAAATCAAATCAAAGTTTATTGGTCGCGTACACAGTTTTGCAGATGTTATTACAGATAATAATAATAAGCCATTTAGCAGATGCTTTTATCCAAAGCGACTTACAGTCATGCGTGCATACATCTTTGTGTATGTGTGGTCCTGGGGATCGAACCCACTACCTTGGCGTTACAAGCACCGTGCTCTACCAGCTGAGCTACAGAGGACCACCAGATGCAGTGAAATGCTTATGTTTCTATCTCCAACAGTGCAGCAATATCTAGCAATACAATAACAATACACACATAATCCAAATGTTTAAAAAAAGAACAAGAAATGAAGACATCAGAATGAGCAATATCAGAGTCCAGAATATAAATAAATATATATGTATGTGAATGGTGTGTACAGACAGTATGGACAGTATATGAATAGAAAAGGTGTGTACAGCAGTAGTTGTATAGGATGAGCCATGACTAGAATACAGTATATACATATAAAGTGGGTAAAACAGTACGTAAACATTCTTAAAGTGACCAGTGTTCAATGACTATGTACATAGAGCAGCAGTCTCTAAGGTGCATGGTAAGAGTACCAGGTGGTAGCCGGCTAATGACAGTGTCTAAGGTTCAGGGCAGGTACTGGGCGGATGCCGGTGATGACTGTTTAACAGTCAGCTGGCCTGGAGATAGAAGCTGTTTATCAGTCTCTCGGTCCCAGCTTTGATGCACTTGTACTGTCTCCGCCTTCTAGATGGTAGCGGGGTGAATAGGCCGTGGCTCAGGTGGCTGAGGTCCTTGATGAGCTTCTTGGTCTTCACCTCATCGTTGTTGGTAATCAGGCCTACCACTGTTGTGTCGTCATATGGTGCCATATGGTATTGTCCCTTCCTGTATTATACTTCTGCTAAAATGTTTATTCTATTCCACTGAGTTATTTACTTTATGTTTCTATTATTTTCCTTTATTATTTCTTATTGTTGTTGTATTGTCAAGAAGGAACCTGCAAGTAAGCATTTCTTTGAACAGTGAATCCCATGTGCATCCTGTACACATGACGAATAAAACTTGAAACTTGAAACATATGGTACTCATCACCAGGAATCTAATGTGTTAGCGAGTGGGGCTCTTCTCTTCACCACTGAGAACTCTGAGTTGGCCCTCCTTCCCTCCGAGTCAAAGAGCACCCAGACCCAGCTAAATGCACCCATGGGATTTGATTAGAAACACGGCAACCAGCTGCTCCTGCCAGGCCACCAAATCAAACTACTATGCTTTTAATCTAATTAAATGAACAGGGAGGAGGAAAGATGGTATCACTCAGCATGGTGGACTTCTACATCTCCACTCATCTCCAGAATATTGCACACCAGGAGACCTGGCATCACATGGAGTAGAAAACCATATTTGATAGCGGTGTCATTAATCTTGCTGCATCTCTAATATCTATTTGATGGCTGCATATTTCATTCTTGTCAAACACTCCCACCCAAAAAAGTTGTATTCTTCATAAGTCATTGCTTACGTATGCACCTGGGAGATTAATCATCACAAGCAGCTCTTTGATAACATTAATCAGATGGGGAGAAACTAATCTGTGGGAACAGGTTGTTGTTAAATAGTTGCTGTACTGCTGTGCTGTACTGTCATACTGTACTGTCTTTGGTAAGGCCTTCATTACATTCTCCTCAACCTAACTCGATGACATCCATATCTAGTTGGTTTGATGACGGTTATGGGTACCAATAACCTAACGTAGCAGGCGTAAAATAAATTCCTGAAACTAGATCCCCTACAAACTGGTCTTGACAAGAAGAAAATAAAACTGTCAGGGATGGTTCCCTTCTGCACTGTTCAACCAATTAAGTAAATATGGAGGAGTTAAGATGGAGTGTCGCCAAAGACAGTACAGTATGAAGATAGGCAGAAACTGCTTCTCCAATAGAAATCCCCGATCACGCTTTTAGGCGATGTCATGGCGACGTTGGCTAGCTAAGCTCATGCGCAGAAACTGTTGGCTCGAATCTAGGTTGTGCCTTTAGATTTAGAGAAAATGAACAACTAAGGAAGATGTTTCACTTCTCTCATTGACTTCTCTAACCCCAAACACAGACCTGGTCTGCTTGGTCTGCTTCACAAAAGTTCCCGTAAGTCTTGCGATGTTGCGCCTCTGGGTTTAGAAACTCTGTGGTGTCGCCTTGTTAACGTCCAAAAGCGGAAGTCGCGTCACAGGCTCTCTTTCCATTTCCCTTGAAAAACTGAACATCCGGTTGTTGGGGACTTGGCAGAGGCTAGGGTACCAATGACCAATAGGCAACATGGTTTTGAATTATGTAGGCCAAACAGAATGGTTTGTTTGAAGACAACCAATGAAGGAAAAATAATTCCAAGTCAGCTATAAGAAGAAACATTTTATTCACAGATAAAACTCAACACGAGCTGCCATATCATACATTTGTACACAGGGTCAGAAAAACCTATACAAAACCAAGGACATTAGAAAATATGGGTTTTGATATGAAATATGACATACATCAACTTTCTTGAAAAATTAATTCAGTTTGGTAATAGTCATTTAACTCATGAAACTAACCCGACATGAGGGAGAGCCAAAGATATTATAAAAATCAAAATGGTAAAAATGGAATAGAAATCATTCTTACAAATGAATACAAAATCTCATGCAGCATCTTCAGAAAGGGCCTGAGGGTATAACTTTGTAAGAGGAAAGAAAACAAATGAATATTTAGTTATATAAATCAAACACATCAAAATACAACCAAAGCCAGTTTCTTACTCTAGATAACCAAAACCAGTTAATCTTCTTTGTCCACACCGTTTTCAGAGAAGTTATTCAGACATTAAGATTCTGGCAGCTACATACAGCAAGTTGATTGATTGTATTTGCCAAACAACATCTAAATCTGAAGACTGCAATTGCTTCACTGCATGTATACACAGGAAACTGTAATTTTTCATGGCCTTTATTTAGGACAATGTCCTCTTGGAGCCTATCCTAGTCTTTGATTGAGACATCCGGTTAAATTATTAAAGAAAGTAGAAGGATGTATATGTGTAGCTTTGAAGCATAACTCAGAGAGGGTTCTGAGTCATTGCAAACTGTCTGTGCTGTTGATCTTAGTGCTTTATGGAGGTTCTTCTCATAGTGGAAGTGAGTATGTTGGAATGCATAGAACCAAGGCATGGCACCACTTAAAAGAGCACACCACAAAATGGCCGTAGAATGACCCTTGCTTGTGGCATCTCATCTATGCCATTTTGTTTGTGTCAGTTGAACCCAGTCGAGGCCCATCTATGGATAAAATGGGCACACTGACGAGCACCTCTGTGCCTGGGAATAATACTCAGCATGCTTTCCCCATCGCTCTGGTGGCACAGGGAGGGTGAGGGAGGTCTGTCAGGGTGACTCTGGACACCCCTAGCACAGAGCAATGGGGAGAGCCAACTGTCACACCCATGAATCATAGCGTACACACAGCCTGTTGGAAGCAGGCCCTGTATGGTGGCCCCTCTGATTGATGTGTTCTGCTGTTGCCACATCTCCAATTAAATAAACAAGGGCAAACACAGCTCAGCCCCACATACCACATACTTTCCTCTCCCCTTCTCTACACCTCCACCATCACCCATCTCAGCACCTCCACTGGGGCGTAATCAGGCCTATAACAGCAAATTGAGTCATTGACAAGATAACATAGACCTGTTTTAAAAGGTAGACTACTGAACCAGAAAGATAACATAAGGCGCAAGAGGCTGGATGAACATGGGCAAAATGCTGACTGAGGTTGGTTTGAAACATGACAAAAGGCAAGGTTTGGGAACGCAATAACATTAGCTTATTGCTCTTCTTCTTTTTCTTTTTTAACCTACAAATTATATTTTACACACAGCATAATCATATAAATACACTATACAATGCAATATAAAATAATTATTTCTTAAAAGGAATATGTTCAGGGTTTGCTTAGGTATGCTGGTTATGATACTAGCGCCATACAAAAAATAATGACTCAAAATAAGTCGAGTGAAAAAGGCACTTCTGGGTGTCGTTGAATGACTCTTGGGTAAATGATGGCCTCTCTCTCATCATGCTTGAACACAGTAACAGTTGTGTCTGTGTACACATTTATCTCCCATTCCAACATGAACATGTCCAGAACGAGGCACTGCAGATAAGTCGGCTCAGATCTCCTGTCTCCATGCAAAGACACCCGTCCCGTTTGTCTCATCTTTTGTCTTTTTTGTTTTTCTTGTCACTTCATTCCAGCAATAACTATGAACTGGCTGCTACATTTCATCATTCTTCCTTTCTCACTTCCTCGATTCTCCATCTCTTCTTTTGCTCATTCTCAGACTTCCACTTCTCGCAGTCCCTCTTGAGTGTCAGCCGGTGATGCAACACTGATGTCGAAGCAGGTCACCATCATGACACGTGACTTGCATAGGTTGACACAGAACTCCAGCTCCTCTGTGACCTGACCCAGGGCCTGCAGGTACTCCTGGGACTCCTTGTCCAAATCCTGGTCCACCTCAACTGGAAGAGAAAAGACAGGAGAGCAGAGGATTAAAGTCCTGGTCACACACAATCAGCTGAAAACTGGAAGACTGTCCACAGAATCAAGTTAACTTTCAATAGGAAGATCACTTTCTATTTTTGTTGGGAATATGAAGAATAAAAAGGTGTACATGTGCCCCTATCCTGGTAGAATAATGTTGCAGACACTCACACTCTCCTATCCACTTGCAAGGGTCCATCATCAGCCGGGTCTTGGTGTCCTCTAGCTCTTCCTTAAGTGCCTCATGTTTGACCTTCAGCTCCCTGATCTGCTGCTGCCGCCGCTCCAGAACCTTCAGCTTACTGTTGAAGTACAGCAGGCCCTGAGAGAGAGAGAGAGAGAGAGATAAGAGCAGGAGAGACAGAAAGAGAGAGAGAGAGAGAGTATATGAGAGAGATGAGAGAGAGAGAGAGAAGATTAGAGAGATATGCTCGTCCATCATCGCTCTCTCTCTCTCTCTCTCTCCTCTCTCCTACTCTCGCTCTCATACATCTCCTCGTCTCTCTCTCTGCTCTCTCTCTCGCTCTCTCTCCCTCTCTCTCTCTCTCTTGCTCGTCTCGGCTCGCGCTCGTTGCGTGCCTGCGCCCTGTTTTGAAATACAAGCTCCTCCTCGTCCTTTCCTCTAGCATTTTTGTTGCTCCTAAAGAATTGCAGGATATACAGACACAGTCATGTATATTAACATTTCTGGCCATTTTCCAGGTATTGTATATAACAATCCAATTAATTCCGGTTCTTCCCTTCTTAACCCTTACTCCAAACTATTCCCCAACTCCCATTAAAGAATAATCAAGCCTCAGCCATCCAACAAAATCAACATACCTTCTCAACATCCTGGAATGGCTGCTAAAGATGAGAAAAGAGAAGAAGAGAAAATACATAAGGTAAAAAATATGATTGTACTCTAGACAGAGTTATGATCTCACAGTTAGAACTCAAACAAATACGAATACACAAACATGCATCAATATATAGAGTACTAAACCCTGTATACTAAACCCTGTATACTGTATATAGACAGAAAAAGCCATGTGCACACAAATAGACATCTGAGAATACAAGCATGGAAACGTTGCATGTTATTCCAAAACTGGCCTGGGAACAGTGGGAGATGTGCGAGGCAAAGCACTTCATTACCAGCCATTCAGCCAGTGATGGTTGGGAAAGACAAATTGAAGATCATCTTTTCCTAATTGAAACTAAATCAAACCACTATCCAGCTGATTTAATATCTTCTCTTAACAATACCCTGTCTGGCTGCCTCTAACTTGTGGGAGCAGTTAATGACCCGTGGCAAGTGGAGCCAGCCATAAAGAGCCATCAGGCAGCCAGGGGATGGGCCATGGTGATGGCTGATGGGGTGTGGGGGTATAGAGAGGGGAGCACATTCCTGGACTGCTCTTTCCACCACCACCACTCCTTCCCCCTCTGTCAATCAGCACCAGCAGTGAGCCCCAGCGATCAGTCATATCTAAAGCAATTAAAGCCAGACAGTAATTGCCTCCTGATCTCTTCACATTCCTGCAGAATCCCGGCTAACATAACACTGGGCTCTGACTGTGGTCACACAGACACTTAAAGACGTCGGGATTCGCCATTGGGCAGACTAAAGGTCAAACGTCTCAGACGCATATTTTCACCTTGTTCTTTAATAAGAACCTGAGAAGGAGTGAGCTAAAACCTTCCCACGATGTCATGCCTGCGGGCCCGACTCCACCAGGTGGCAAAGGGAGGCGTAACCCCCTCAGTTAAAACTTGTGCCCCCTCAGTTTTAGTTTTATGTCCCTATATGAAAATATTTCAAAAATCAAATAATTGAGTGACAGGTTGGCGCAAAATCTGTATCTCCGCTGCGCTGTGTCAGCACAATGGACAGAGCGTGCCACGGTGTGTGTAGGGGGGCTATGGAAAGCCACTGGGGCAGTTAGGTACAGTGGCTTGCGAAAGTATTCACCCCCCTTGGCATTTTTCCTATTTTGTTGCCTTACAACCTGGAACTAAAAATGATTTTTTTGGGGGGTTTGTATCATTTGATTTACACAACATGCTTAACACTTTGAAGATGCAAAATATTTTTTTGTGTGGAACAAACAAGAAATAAGACCAAAAAAGACAACTTGAGCGTGCATTACTATTCAAAAGTCAATACTTTGTAATGCCACCTTTTGCAGCAATTACAGCTGCAAGTCTCTTGGGGTATGTCTCTATAAGCTTGGCACATCTAGCCACTGGAGTTTTTGCCCATTCTTCAAAGCAAAACTGCTCCAGCTCCTTCAAGTTGGATGAGTTACGCTGGTGTACAGCAATCTTTAAGTCATACCACAGATTCTCAATTGGATTGAGGTCTGGGCTTTGACTAGGCCATTCCAAGACATTTAAATGTTTCCCCTTAAACCACTCAAGTGTTGCTTTAGCAGTATGCTTAGGGTCATTGTCCTGCTGGAAGGTGAACCTCCATCCCAGTCTCAAATCTCTGGAAGACTGAAACAGGTTTCCCTCAAGAATTTCCCTCTATTTAGCGCCATCCATCATTCCTTCAATTCTGACCAGTTTCCCAGTCCCTGCCGATGAAAAACATCCCCACAGCATGATGCTGCCACCACCATGCTTCACTGTGGGGGATGGTGTTCTCAGGGTGATGAGAGGTGTTGGGTTTGCGCCAGACATAGCGTTTTCCTTGATGGCCAAAAAGCTCAATTTTAGTCTCATCTGACCAGAGTACCTTCTTCCATATGTTTGGGGAGTCTCCCACATGCCTTTTGGCGAACACCAAACGTGTTTGCTTATTTCTTTCTTTAAGCAATGGCTTTTTTCTGGCCACTCTTCCATAAAGCCCAGCTCTGTGGAGTGTATGGCTTAAAGTGGTCCTATGGACAGATCCTCCAATCTCCGCTGTGGAGCTTTGCAGCTCCTTCAGGGTTATCTTTGGTCTCTTTGTTGCCTCTCTGATTAATGCCCTCCTTGCCTGGTCCGTGAGTTTTGGTGGGCGGCCCTCTCTTGGCAGGTTTGTTGTGGTGCCATATTCTTTCCATCCGTGGGATGTTCAATGTTTTAGATATTTCTTTATAACCCAACCCCGATCTGTACTTCTCGACAACTTTGTCCCTGACCTGTTCGGAGAGCTCCTTGGTCTTCATGGTGCCACTTGCTTGGTGGTGCCCCTTGCTTCGTGGTGTTGCAGACGCTGGGGCCTTTCAGAACAGGTGTATATATACTGAGATCATGTGACACTTTATTTAACTAATTATGTGACTTCTGAAGGTAATTGGTTGCACCAGATCTTATTTAGGGGCTTCGTAGCAAAGGTGGTGAATACATATGCACGAACCACTTTTCCGTTATTTATTGTTTTAGAATTTTTTGAAAAAGTAATTTTTTTCATTTCACTTCACCAATTTGGACTATTTTGTGTATGTCCATTACATGAAATCCAAATAAAAATCCATTTAAATTACAGGTTGAAATGCAACAAAATAGGAAAAACGTCAAGGGGGATGAATACTTTTGCAAGGCACTGTATGACTCCTTTGGTTTTCCATAAAAAGTGGGGAAAAACACTTTTTATCTGTGGGAGGCTAAGTGAATAACGTGATACGCCTCCGCCTGTAATATTTTATTTTGATTTATAATGGCGGGGTCAAGTTTACCGTTGAAGCTGCTTCACTCAACTCTGCCTCACACCCCACCACTACAGAGCTTAGTTAGCTTCTTAGCTAGCTGTTAAAAGCGTTAGTGTTATTAACCTTAGCCTATTTAGCTAGCTCAAACCAGCTAATCTGTCACTGCCACGATGGATATCAGAAATTGGCTTCACCAACGTACCCAAACAAAGCCAAAGGAGAAGGGGACACCTGGCTACTGTGTGAGTGGTTGTTAAAAGTTTTGACTTGTGAAGTTCCTCTCTCACATCAAATGCATGCGTTCTTACAACACAGAAGTAAGACTTGAGGCTACAGGGCTGCTGAAGGTGGTGACAGACCCAGGCTTTACGTTTACAGCCACCATGGTGCACAGAATCCTCAGTCTACTAGATTCTCCAAACAAATGACTCCAGGCAAAAGCAACAGATCTTTACACTGGAGTCAAAGTGGTCCGCAGTGCGTTGGAGTGCGTCGAGAAGCTGAGGTGTGACAGCGAGTTTGAAGCCATTTGAGCGCAGTTCATTAGGCCAGCAGGACAGAAGAGACTGAGTGTAAAATAATGTTCTTGGATGCTGTCAGTGGTGAAATGTCCGAACGATTCAGCGAACGCAACAACCAACTGGTGGAGGCCCTGTGTGCCCTTTGACCCAGAGAGCCATGACTTTCTAGATGTGAAAAAGGTGAAACCACTGCTGGATCTAAGTAAAAACAGATTTGGTGGAAGCTGAGTTTAGTGTCGCTCGCCAGTTTTAGCAAACTGAAATCGCCCGCTCTGGCTCCAATGAGGACGATATGGACCCCACTTGACATCCTGCAACAATTCTCTGGGCCTCTCTCCGCTATGCCGACCGTGCTTACTGGACTGACGCATGGATTGACCTTTGGGGCGTCCACAGCTACATGCAAGAACTCATTTTTCACTTTGACAAACGTGTTCAGTCAGCACAGAAGAAGCATGCTACACCCGAGGAAAGCTCAACTAATCCAACTGGCATTGGAGGGGGATCTTACATGAAAATTTCGGGGAGAATGGAATGATCGATTACTCAGGAAGTTCCACAGAGCATCAACAAGGCTGCAACTCTTCCGAAAAGGTAAGAAACAATCTAGCTGGTTGTTTTTTATCAGAATCTTGGTGGTATTGCCAGTGGCGTCATCTCAGCAAAAACCTAGGGTATGGAATGGCATAATGACTTCCTTAGCCACCAGCCAAGGTTTTCAACAGCCTTGCTTTAGTGTGTAGGGCGCTGTCCATGGTGCTGATAGAGTGCAGCAATTTGTCACTTCTTGGTCAAAGGCACTCAATGGTCTCGGCATTTTAACTTTTATGTTTATTATGGTATTGCGTGACATAAGCAGAATTCAATATAATTCCAACGCAAGAACCCCAAATAATTGTGCCCCCTCACCGATTTCAACTGCCCCCTTAGTCACTTTATCCTGGCGCCTGGTCTGCATGCCTGACTTCAATGTAGCACATTCAGAATATTGCTGAGATCAATGTGACACATGCAGACTATTGCTGAGCTTTACATTGCTAAGCAGCATGTATGTAGTGATGAACATAAACCTAATGACTCTAAAATAAGTGCAGTAACAGTATGGGGAGCTTGTATTACAGACAGTAAGCATGATCCTTCACTCACCTCAGCTGAGTCCTCCTGTCGTCGCCTCTGGAGCCGTTCCACATCGTCGATCTCGTACACCTTGATCTCGAAGGGTTCCTTCAGTGGTCCTGACATGGGCGGCAGGTCCACCCATTGGCCAGCTGTGCCAGCCTTCTTCCCCAGTGACGAGGTGTCTGGCAGGGGGGCCGGGATGAGCCGTCGCCGCTGTAGCCCTGGAGAGACACAGACACAGACAGACAGGCACCTCAATTACTGCTGGAAATATATAATGGTAATATCTGCCAGGGCCGAGCTGTACAGCTCTGTCTATTAGTAAATATGTAAGAAGCTGAGACTGAGATGTAAAGAGATAGAAGGCTTTACACAGGCCTCCTGAGCGTGCTGTAGATTGCATATGTATAAGGCTTTCACCACTGTCTATTTCAAATCCCTACCACACAATATGAATTGAAGAGATTGACTACATAAATCTAAGAGAGCTGGAACATGGTCACAAGTTTCCGCTGCTGTTCAACTGAGTTCCAAGTCATCTAATTTCTGCTGAATCTGAAAGGTGACAAAACCAATAAACTATAAGAATCAGATTTTAAAAAGTTAGAGCCTCTATCTTTACAAGATTGCCTTGGGGAGTTGGAGAAAGCGACAGGTTGTCCTTGATGTTGTTTGGAGATTATGTGCTATACTTCTCTGGCATACTGCTTCAATCAGTAGATCTGTGGAAATGTATTTCTTATTTCAGACGGGAACACCACTCAGTCTGCTTTTCAGCATGACACATCTAGTTAAAGTCAACAGCAGTGAACCTTGACCCTTAACAAGAGATTGTCTAAGCTGATCTGCACAGGCAAACTACTTTTCCAAAGCAATCAGGGGTATTTATAGACGTGCTGTATGACTTTTAGACAAGAGGCTTTTATAGCGGAGTGGTAGAAACAGTTAGGGCTTATGACCTCCATTAACGATCTTCTCCTCCATTATTTATCAAGTGGACTGTTTGACTTCTGACATCACTCAGTGGCTTGTAAAAAACAACAAAGACTGGGCTTGAACAAGAAATCTTGTAAAAGGACCTGAATAATGCTTGGGCTTTTATGGAACTTTCACATTTTTGAATGCCTCAATTGATTCCCCGACTAAACCTACAGTATGCTGTTGTTCAGGATATTATCAGATAGATAATGCATAATGATGTATACAGATTCAGAGCTATTACCATTGCGTTTCTTGGGGGATTTGGATGTCCTGGGGCGGCCTGAGGAGGAAATTCCACTCTCACTCATGGAGTCGTGTGCAGAGGAGGCGCTGCCTGTGGCCTCGCTGTCCCGGATCATGCTCTCATAACCACTGCTGCCCCCGCTGTGGTAGAAGAGGGCTGTGCGGCCCATGGCTGGGGGCAGCTCTCCACTCAGAACACTGCTGTTGTCACTGCCATGGCCACTGCTGTAGCGCTGCGGCCTTCTGGGGGCTGTGATCTTACTGTAAGGGGAGGGCAGCATGACCACGAGGGACTTGTCATCACTCAGGTTCACACCACTGTCATTACCACTGTCAGAGTCCCCTGAGCCCCTCAGGTGTTTGCCTGATGTGCTGCCTGATGCCAGCTCACTGACCCGGCTGTTGGCTGCCCGCATAGCATGCTTGGTGCCCATGATGGTCCCCCGGCCAGGCTTGCTGCTGACAGCTGCCGTGGCTCGCGGGGCGGAGGTCTTGCCAGTCGGGGGAAGGTTGGCGTTGGGGTTCCTGGTGGCTGGAGCTGCCAGGGACTTGGTGGAGGAGCTCAGGCCCTTAGAGTTGCTCGCTGACAACGAACGGGCCTTACTTCCATTGACCGCTCCTAGCGATCTGGGGTTAACACTACCTTTGACCTGCCCAGGTTTACCTAGAGCACCTATAGCACCACAGGGGGAAGGTGGGGAGGTAGCAACGGGAGAGTTGGTTGAGTTTGGTACACCGAATCTGGGAATGGACCTGCTGGACTTGCTGCAGCCCAGGCTGGCTCCACTGTTTTCTCGACTGAGAGTGGGCTTGGAGCCCACCATGGACATGCTGTCACACCTTTCCAGAGACATCTGACTGCCGTAATGCTGCCGACCAGCATCCCCTCTGGCCCTCAGACTGGAAGTGGCTTTGGCCGAGGTGTAGTCACCCCTGAGGCTGGAGGTTTTGAGGCTGTTGGAGTCTCCTCTGCAGCGGACCTCTAGTTCATCCTCTGACACCGCCCCCCTGGTGAGTTTGGGCCTCCCTGCTTCCCCGTACGCAAACTTTAAGGCACTTTGGGGCAGCAGAGGCCTGTTCTTCTGATCCAGACTGGACTTGCGCACCGGAGGTGGAGGAGGTGAGGTACCACCAGGTTTGGGGAGCATGCTGGCTTGCTGCCCATTTGCCTTGCCATTCTTTCCCAGAGAGGAGAACTTGAGAATGTTGGTTGTGGTGGTGATGTCCTTGGTTGTGGCCTTGGTCTCTGGGGAGACGTGGATGACAGGCACAGTGCCCAGGGTGGTGGCCCCTCGTCTTAGCTGAGGCATCTTGCTGGGGGGCTCCGCTTTCTTACTGGTGGACTTCTCACAGCCATCCACCACCCTCTGGGCTGAGGTAGAACCCTGCACCTTGGGTGGGCGAGGTACACCATTGCTGTTGACAACACCAGCTTTGCGGCAGGGAATGCCACTCACTGGGGTTCTGGGGAGCTTGCTGGTGGCGCTGGAGTCTGGAAGCTGAGGTTCAGAGTGGTTGTCGATGCGCTGCCAGGGGTTCTCCTGCTTGACTTCCTGTCTCTGTGGTTCACGACTGCTGCTGCTACTATAGGCGATTGATGAGGTAGGTTTCACTTTCTTGGGAAGACTGGAGTGGACTATGTAAGGGCCCTGGGAGGGTTGGGAGGAAGAGCTGAGAGAGTTAACTTTAGCTGTTTTTGATGGGAATCTGAGGGATCCTTTGGTTGACTCGGGAGACGGAGGACACTTTGTCAGGGACAGTTTGCTAGATGCTGCGCTGTCACTGTCCAGTTCAGAAAAACTAAAGCCGCTGTCGTTCAGGGAGTTCTTGGCATCCCTTCGGGATGATTCACAGTGGAACATATCCAGGGAATCCAGGTAGAAGGTGCCTTCTGGGCCGATGTGCTTAGTCTGTGGGAGGAAAACATCTGCAGAGTGTACCCCTTCACTCTCCAGAGTACAGACGCTGACCTCGCTGAGCCAGGAGCTGATGGACGAGCCCCTGCTGCCCACACACACAAATGTGTCATGCTGTAAGGGGGTGAGCACCTCGATGTTGACCTCTGCACCCCCCACAGCAGATGTGTAGGCGTCAAACTCGTCGTTGATGCTGCTGATAATGCTGACGGGCCGTGAGCCTGAGGCCAGGGCCTGCAGGGAGCAGTCGCTGTTGAAGCTGATGATGCTGGAGGGCCGCCCGTTGTCTATGATGCTGCCGATGGAAAGCTCCTCCACCACGGTGAACACCAGCTCATCCTCTCCGTTCAGCTCCACAGGCTGCTGCAGGGTGACCGTAGCCCGGAGAATGTCCCTGTCCAGGCACCTCTCTCTCAGGGTGGAGCGCAGCTGGCAAACCTCTACTGGTCCCCTGGTCTGGGCCCTATCAAGGAAATGGGAGTCTCCTGATTCCCCCCGTTTTCCAACCTGATGGCTCATTCCCACGGGGGGCATTCTAGTGGGGGACCTCTCCTCTGCCGCTCTGTTGCCCCTGCGTGAGTCTCTCTGCTGTGGGGGAGGGGGAGCAGGCTTGGGTAAGGGCTTCTTGTTGAAGTAGACCTTCTCCCGGACTACTGGCTCAGAGGCTGGCATCGTGGCCACTTCCTGTTTGATTGGGCTTGCTCTGCTCTCTGACGTCATCACCTTCTCACCATCAGCACTTGTTCTACATATGCTCTGTGACACCCCTCTGGAATGTTCCAGTTTAGACTTAGAGGGGCTGACGGATGGAGTGGCTACAGATTTAGGAGCCAGTTTGGGAGATATGCTCTCCTGGGAGGAGGAGGCTTTAGTTACAGTCTTTGGGGAAACAGAGCCAGGGCCTTCCTTTGCTTTGCTGTCCATCTTGGGGCTGGCCTGACTTCCCATGCCCTCTCCAACAAACGCTGTAGGCTCCTCGCTGCCGTCGATACACTCCAGGCGCTCCTGCAGCTCAGCAAACGTGTTGCACTTGAAGAAGTGATCCCTGTCCAGGGGGCCCTCCTTCCCAGACCGCTTCCTGTTCAGGGAGGGGATGATGGGAACGAAGGTGGGTGGGCCCTCGTTGTCACTCAGTTCCCGGTCAGAGATGGCAGCGCCCCCCGGCCCCACATAGATGACGGTGTCACAGGACTGTTCGCTGCTGGAGGAGTAGTCTGGGTCGCTGAGCAGGGAGGGCAGGTCCGGGTCCAGGGCCACCGTCCGGGGGTGGAAGGGTCTGAGGTGGGGTGGCCGACGGATCCTCCCCTCCTCACAGGAGCTCTCCCCACCAGAGGAACTGGATGCATACTGCAACACAGACACATACAGAGACTTACTAAACAGTGTACAGTGGCTTGCGAAAGTATTCACCCCCCTTGGCATTTTTCCTATTTTGTTGCCTTACAACCTGGAATTTAAATGGATTTTGGGGGGGGTTGTTTCATTTGATTTACACAACATGCCTAACACTTTGAAGATACAAAATATTTTTTATTGTGAAAAACAAGTAATAAGAAAAAAATACAGAAAACTTGAGCGTGTATAACTATTCACCCCCCCAAAGTCAATACTTTGTAAAGCCACCTTTTGCAGCAATTACAGCTGCAAGTCTCTTGGGGTATGTCTCTATAAGCTTGGAACATCTAGCCACTGGGATTTTTGCCCATTCTTCAAAGCAAAACTGCTCCAGCTCTTTCAAGTTCGATGAGTTACGCTGGTGTACAGCAATCTTTAAGTCATACCACAGATTCTCAATTGGATTGAGGTCTGGGCTTTGACTAGGCCATTCCAAGACATTTAAATGTTTCCCCTTAAACCACTCAAGTGTTGCTTTAGCAGTATGCTTAGGGTCATTGTCCTGCTGGAAGGTGAACCTCCATCCCAGTCTCAAATCTCTGGAAGACTGAAACAGGTTTCCCTCAAGAATTTCCCTGTATTTAGTGCCATCCATCATTTCTTCAATTCTGACCAGTTTCCCAGTCCTAGCCAATGAAAAACATCCCCACAGCATGATGCTGCCACCACCATGCTTCACTGTGGGGATGGTGTTCTCGGGGTGATGAGAGGTGTTGGGTTTTGTGCCAGACATAGCGTTTTCCTTGATGTCCAAAAAGCTCAATTTTAGTCTCATCTGACCAGAGTACCTTCTTCCATATGTTTGGGGAGTCTCCCACATGCATTTTGGCGAACACTAAAAGTGTTTGCTCATTTCTTTCTTTAAGCAATGGCTTTTTTCTGGCCACTCTTCCGTAAAGCCCAGCTCTGTGGCGTGTACGGCTTAAAGTGGTCCTATGGACAGATCCTCCAATCTCCGCTGTGGAGCTTTGCAGCTCCTTCAGGGTTATCTTTGGTCTCTTTGTTGCCTCTCTGATTAATGCCCTCCTTGCCTGGTCCGTGAGTTTTGGTGGGCGGCCCTCTCTTGGCAGGTTTGTTGTGGTGCCATATTCTTTCAATTTTTTAAATAATGGATTTTATGGTGCTCCGTGGGATGTTCAAAGTTTCAGATATTTTTTCATAACCCAACCCAGATCTGTACTTACATTTACATTACATTTTAGTCATTTAGCAGACGCTCTTATCCAGAGCGACTTACAGTTAGTGAATAAATTTTTTTATTTTTTATGTAATATATATATATATATATCTTTTTTTTCATACTGGCCCCCCGTGGAAATCGAACCCACAACCCTGCCGTTGCAAAAGCCATGCTCTATCAACTGAGCTACATCCCTGCCGGCCATTCCCTCCCCTACCCTGGGGTTGCAAAAGCCATGCTCTATCAACTGAGCTACATCCCTGCCGGCCATTCCCTCCCCTACCCTGGGCCAATTGTGCGCCGCCCATGAGTCTCCCGGTCGCGGCCAGCTGCGACAGAGCCTGGATTCGAACCAGGATCTCTAGTGGCACAGCTAGCACTGCGATGCAGTGCCTTAGACCACTGCGCCACTCAGGAGACATTGGTTGCACCAGATCTTATTTAGGGTCTTCATAGCAAAAGGGGTGAATACATATGCACGCACCACTTTTCCGTTATTTATTTTTTAGCATTTTTAGAAATTTCACTTCACCAATTTGGACTATTTTGTGTACATCCATTACATGAAATCCAAATAAAAATCAATTTAAATTACAGGTTGTAATGCAACAAAATAGGAAAAACATCAAGGGGGATGAATACTTTTGCAAGGCACTGAAATGTGCTTAGCACATGAATGTGCTACATACTTAGACTTTCTGCATAATCCACATGTTCAATACATAATATTATTACTTTAGAAATTGAAAAAGTCTTTATATAGTTTTCTCCACCATTTTCCAATTTCCTGCTGTAGATTTACAGTTAATTGAATCGCATAATGAATTCACGGTGGAATAAATCATAAGGCAAATATAAATTGCTTTAAAATTGTCAGTCAATACATTTAAAGGTTAAATGTGACCATCAATAGGCACACTGAAATGAATGTCAATAATTTGAATCAGTGTGCGTGGAATGCATTATAATTACGCCCAGATGCTAAATAAATGCATGCTGTCATTACACCTAATTATCTGGAGCATATATTTCCCGAATCTGAGGGCATGCATTACAAACATCCTTAGGCAGCAGGATTGGGATCAATTCGAATTGAAGGCAGTCAATTCAGGAAGTGATTTGAATTTAAAATCCCATTTTTTCTTGTGACATAAATAGCTTCTCCTTTTCAGTTAATTGAGAAGTCAGTAAACATTTATGCTTATTTTTTCAATCATTGAATTGGAATTTCAGTTTACTTCCTGAATTGACTGCCTTAACTTGAAATTGAACCCAACCCTTTTAGGCAGCCCTATTGATTACATGATTATGTGTTGAGCAGGCAAGAAAAACTAGCTCTGAATTATGGCACTAATAACCTTGCATTAAGAGAGGCCCTGATTCATTTCATACCATGGCCTCCAATTTACAGTAAAGTGGGAAGAGCTTTTTCAAGATCTCAGCTACTAATAGGCTACTATATGAAATGGTGAACAGTGCAACTTCTGTTAATAAACCCACTGTAATAAACTCTTGAGATCACTAAATAGTTATTATAACTGTGAAAATCTATGGCTTTCCCTCATCAAAACAGTGAGGGCCCTGTTCATCGAAATATGCTACTGTTCAAATGGAGAATATCCATGTCTCTTAATCAATGTCAACAGTGTGTGATACTGAAAGCTCATCAAGTCCAGACACAGACCTTGGACTTCTTCTTCCTCATGCGGTGGATGCGTGAGGCCAGCTGGATGGTTGTGAGGGAGTCAGTGTAGTTGGCAGGGGAGTCAGAGATGTGGGCGATCATTGTAGTTCTACAGTTAATGTTCCCCAGCGACTCTCTCAGCAGCATCGTCAGTTTGCTGTCCCTAGAAATGATACGTTCACACACCGTCATCATCATTACTGCTCAGGAAACGGCAGGATGTTTCAGTGCCCTATATCCCTGGCTTTGCTAATGACTAGAAAACAAACGTTACAATGTTGGTTTACATTCAACCACGGTTCTCTACACCTTATATTAGTCTGGGTTGCCAGATATTTTTTTAATATCACATTTGGAACAACTGGTTCTTCGACTGTTATCTTAGGTTCCTAAGCTGAATGCTCATTTTACAGTATATTTCCTCCCATTTTAGCTTGCTTTCCCCATTTCACACTTTGTCTGCACTGCATTCCCCAAATTAAATGTTCTGTCTCTGATTCCATAGTGTAGCAAACTACATGGCTGAGACTGGGATATTTCTATAGCACGCTAGAATAAACACAGCCTTGATAGTTAAGGTAAATGTACATGCATAAACTTGTCTCATTTTGATTACATGACTCGACTCCTTTACATATTACATATTCAAGGTATAGATAGAAAGTTCAGTACTAGTTCCCCTACCTGTAAGGTACGTGCTTGGCTCCATTGGCTAAAGCCATGATAACGTTTCCCAGCGCGGTGAGAGACAGACACAGGCCTCCCCCTCCGTCTCGGCTCTTACTAAGGACCTTCTCACAGCTCCCCAGGTCTATGAGGTGCAGCCTGCTCCGTCCGCCTGACACTGTAGATGACACAGGAGGAAGAGCCAGGTGAGGTTATATCTCAGCACAGACACAGTCAGACACTCCCTCTGAAGGAAGAGGGTTCCTACATGCTGCTGCTGCGCCTTACAGGCAGGAGAGGCACAGCCCAGACCAGACCAGACATGGCAGTCTGATTTATTCATGAGTAAGCCTCTCGGTCTGAAGTGATTCAAATCTGGGCTGAGATTGTCTCAGTTTAACAGACAGGTAATAACGTTCCAGACACATAAAAGTATCTTGTTGTCACATTACATACATAAAAAACAAAGGAGGACAGTCACTGTATTTGGCACCTAAATGGTAATTGGAGATGATGACTAGTTTGGGGGGCTGTGCTATAAAAGTCCAAAAGTATGCAGTGATTCAGTTTAGACGGAAGGGGAGCAGGATTTCTCCAAATGTTATTCAGCAGAGGGGCAGCACATTGTAATGTAGGTCACTGATATGTTATTTCAGATTAATCAAATCAAATATAAGAAGTGTAAACTTAACTGTGAAATGCTTGCTTACGAGCCCTTCCCAACAATGCAGTTTAAAAATAATAATACAATAAAAAAATAGTAACACGAGAGGAATAAAATACACAAGAATGAAGCTATATACAGGGAGTACCAGTACCAGATCAATGTACAGCTATATACAGGGAGTACCAGTACCAGATCAATGTACAGGGGTATGAGGTATTTGAGGTAGATATGTACATGAAGGCAGGGTAACGTGATTCCCAAGGGGGGCCAGTATGAAAATGTATGCACTCACTAACTGTAAGTCGCTCTGGATAAGAGCATCTGCTAAATGACTTAAATGTAAATGTAAATGTAATGTGACTAGGCATCAGGATAGATAATAACAGAGTAGCAACAGCATATGATGAGCGTAAAAGTGTGTGTGTTGTGTCGATATGCGTGTGTGTGTGTTTGTGACTTGTCGGTATGCGTGTGTGTGTTATGTGTGTGTGTGCGTATGTAGTTTATGTGAATGTGTGAGAGTGTCAGTGTAGCGTGTGTGTGAGTGTGTATATAGTGTGTATATATAGTCAGTGCAAGATATTAACGGTCTATTTAGCGGTCTTGTGGGTAGAGCTGTCTCGGAGCCTGTTGGTCCGAGAGCCGATGCTCCAGTACAGTAGCAGACTGAACAGTCTCTGGCTTGGGTGGCTGCAGTCTTTGGTAATTTTTCGGGCCTTCCTCTGACCGAATATAAAGGTCCTGGATGGCAGGGAGCTCGGCCCCAGTGATGTACTGGGCTGTCTGCATCACCCTCTGTAGCGCATTGCGGTCGAAGGTGGTGCATTTGCCATACCAAGCAGTGATGCAGCCAGTCAAGATGCTCTCGATGGTGCAGCTATTTAACTTTTTGAGGATCCGAGGGCCCATGCCAAATCTTTTCAGCCTCCTGAGCGGCGAACCATTAAACTCTTGTCAGCAAGACTTAGAAATTGTGTGCTTCAAATCCACACTCTCGTTCCGCTAAGCACAACACATGAATGCAAACAAGTCTCTTTTTTTCACCCATCCATAAACATTCCAAATGAGGCTTGTTATCCATTCAGATTTATTGCGGCTTTATCCACCATCTAGCCCAGTGCAGCACAGTCTCCTATGGCTATGATGGTACCCTCTGACAGCACAGATACAGTTGAAGTCGGAAGTTTACATACACTTAGGTTGGAGTCATTAAAACTCTGTTTTCAACCACCCACAAATTTCTTGTTAACAAACTATCGTTTTGGCAAGTCGATTAGGACATCTACTTTGTGCATGACACAAGTCATTTTTCCAACAATTGTTTACAGACAGATTATTTCACTTATAATTCACTATATCACAATTCCAGTGGGTCAGAAGTGTACATACACTAAGTTGACTGTGCCTTTAAACAGCTTGGAAAATTCCAGAAAATGATGTCATGGCTTTAGAAGCTTCTGATCATCATTTGAGTCAATTGGAGGTGTACCTGTGGATGTATTTCAAGGCCTACCTTCAAACTCAGTGCCTCTTTGCTTGACATCATGGGAAAATCAAAAGGAATCAGCCAAGACCTCAGAAAAAACGTTGTAGACCTCCACAAGTCTGGTTCATCCTTGGGAGCAATTTCCGAACGCCTGAAGGTACCACGTTCATCTATACAAACAATAGTACGCAAGTATAAACACCATGGGACCACACAGCCGTCATACCGCTCAGGAAGGAGACACATTCTGTCTCCTAGAGATGAACGTACTTTGGTGCGAAAAGTGCAAATCAATCCCAGAACAACAGCAAAGGACCTTGTGAAGATGCTAGAGGAAATAGGTACAAAAGTATCTATATCCACAGTAAAACAAGTGCTATATCGACATAACCTGAAAGGCCGCTCAGCAAGGAAGAAGCCACTGCTCTAAAAAAAAAACGCCATAAAAAAGCCAGTATTTTCTGGAGAAATGTCCTCTGGTCTGATGAAACAAAAATAGAACTGTTTGGCCATAATGACCATCATTGCAAGCCGAAGAACACCATCCCAACCGTGAAGCATGGGGGTGGCAACATCATGCTGTGGGGGTGCTTTGCTGCAGGAGGGACTGGTGCACTTCACAAAATAGATGGCATCATGAGGAAGGAAAATGATGTGGATATATTGAAGCAACATCTCAAGACATCAGTCAGGAAGTTAAAGCTTGATTGCAAATGGGTCTTCCAAATGGACAATGACCCCAAGCATACTTCCAAAGTTGTGGCAAAATGGCTTAAGGACAACAAAGTCAAGGTATTGGAGTGGCCATCACAAAGCCCTGACCTCAATCCTATAGAACATTTGTGGGCAGAACTGAAAAAGCATGTGCGAGCAAGGAGGCCTACAAACCTGACTCAGTTACACCATCTCTATCAGGAGGAATGGGCCAAAATTCACCCAACTTATTGTGGGAAGCTTGTGGAAGGCTACCCAAAATGTTTGACCCAAGTTACACAATTTAAAGGCAATGCTACCAAATACTAATTGAGTGTATGTAAACTTCTGACCCACTGGGAATGTGATGAAAGAAATAAAAGTTGAAATAAATTATTCTCTCTACTATTATTCTGACATTTCACATTCTTAAAATAAAGTGGTGATCCTAACTGACCTAAGACAGGGAATTTTTACTAGGATTAAATGTCAGGAATTGTGAAAAACTGAGTTTAAATGTATTTGGCTAAGGTGTATGTAATCTTCCGACTTCAACTGTACCTGCAGCAATATGGTTCAGTGCATTCATCACTTGCGGATTAATCAAAAAAGCCAGAGCATTTGTTGAATCGAATGGGCAAATGATAAATAGTATAGCAGAACAATGAATAAAAATCAGACACTATCACAGTCAAAGACACACAGAGTGACATTAGAGCTCAGAGAGCGCCTCAAATCATGTAGTAATTATAGCTATGCTAAGTATAGTAGTGGTAGTAACAGGGAAAGGGGATACCTGGTCAGTTGCACAACTGAATACATTCAACCGAAATGTGTCTTCCGCATTTAACCCAACCGCTCTGAATCAGAGAGATGCATGAGGCTGCCTTAATTGACATCCACGTCATTGGTGCCCGGGTTTGTTGTTGGGGTTGTTGCCTTGCTCAAGGGCAGAACGGCAGATTTTTCCACCTTGCCGGCTTGGGAAATAGAACCAGCGATCTTTCGGTTACTGGCCTTACACTCTTAACCGCTAGGCTACCTGTAGAAGTAGTAGCAGTTTTACTCACTGCCTCCCTTGCCACTCTTCTCCATGCGGTACTGGTAGATATGCAGCGTGAACAGCATGTGAGAGTTGCGTCTCTCTTCCTCATCTGAGTCGGGCCTGCTGGTGCTGCGTGCTGCGATGGCCGCGTCCAGGAAGAAGGCTGCCTTCTCTGCCGTGGGAGCGCGGAGCTCGCTCTGGTTCTGGAGCTAAGGGGGGAGGAGAGAGGAGAGGGAAGGGTAAGGGGGGGGGGGGGGGATAAGGGTTAGATAAGGGTTAGAGAGATAAGGTTTAGATAAGGGTTAGAGAGATAAGGTTTAGATAAGGTTAAAAGAGATCAGGTTTAGATAAGGGTTAGAGAGAAGGAGAGAGTATGGGGTTGGAGAGAAAGAGTTGGAGGAATCGGAGAAAGGAAAGAGAAAAAGTAGAGAGGGTAGCCAGGTAATTGGACCCAGGCACACATTTCCTACCCATTAGATTGGGTCTCGGGGGCAATTGTACTTATTGTGATCGAGATGTAGTTGTCCCTGATTGCACTGACTTTGCTCACAGCTGCTTGTTTGAAGAAGTGTACTTACTGTGATCAAGATGTGGTTGTCCCACTGGCTATCCTAAGTTGAATGCACCAATTTGTAAGTCGCTCTAGATAAGAGCGTCTGCTAAATGACTTAAATGTAAAATGTAAAATTAGAGAAACAGATATGCACACAGAGGGAGGTGGATTAGGGAAGGTAATGGAGGAGCAGGAGGCAGGGGCACTTCCCTCCACACGGATGTTGTGGTGGTGGGATATGGAGAGAGGGGGGAGTGGGGAGTGGGAGGAAAGGGGGGAGAGTGGGGCATGTAGTAGGGGCCCCACGCCACATGGTTGGAGGAGGAGCTGTGAGGAGCTTCACAGGACTCCAGGCAGCCTTTGATGTCACGGTCCACACAGAGCCCCAAAAAAACAACATCTGACGGCAACACCTGTCAGTGCCTTCAAACCCCATCCCCCCGACCCCCCAATTAGTCCTATTGTGATGCAGAGGGGCAGAGCTAATTCAGGAGTAATAGATGCTGAAAGATGTTGACAGGGGAGTCAATAAAAAGGTATGAAGAAAGATGTCGCTATGTGGATGGCTTTGGTGAGAATATAGTGCAGGGATTTATTAAGAAAGGTAAGACAGGGCAATATGGGCTCAGAGTACACAGGGGAAAGACCTGGGAGATGAAAGAAAACAGACAATCTTTGGGGTAGACATAGGTAGGTAGTAGTGAGAATCAGATCAATACACAGACACTAATATATACCAGACAGAGAGAGAGACGGAGAAGGAGAACAAAGAACGGGAGGAAAATGGGGACGCGTCTGGCCACCTTTTTTCCTCACCTGAGTGCCACAGATGGGGTCCTCACGCAGGTAGACCCCTGGGGACTGTCCGTCCTGCACGCTTCCTGTTGACACCTCAGACAGGAGGTCCTTCAGCGCCTCGTCCTTCCCACAGATCTCCACGGCAGACACACGGACAGAGAAGCGCGTGCCCGTCTTCTCTTTGCGCTCGTTGATGAGTTTGAAGAGCCAGGAGATGGCGCAGGGCACGATGCCGAGGTTCTGGGTGGAGCCGTCTTTGCCAATCATGGTGAATGTCTTGCCTGGAGACAGAGGAGAGGACGGCGAGGAAGGGGGATGGAGACATTAATATACAAGTCCGGTGCATTGCTGTTGGCAACAGCCTGCTGCTCATTTCTCTCCGAAAAACGAAGAAACACTAGTAATATGCTGTCTAGAATGGGTAGAGGAGAGGAAAATGCATTACAACTGTTGATTGGGAATATACTGTATCTCTAATAACTTACGAAGGGGGTGATTCAAGGAGCAATCCCTGGAGGATGAAAACAGAGGAGAAGAAAAGGTAAAAGGAAGCCTGTTCTGAGAAATGACACTCTTTCAGGCTGGGTGAAGAGTCCAGGTCAATTACAGTGGTTTTAATTCAAGACTGTTCCCTGCAGCCTCTATATAGAAGTCTCCATCCCTCCATCCCCCACCATCTCTCACTAGCCCCTCCCCACTGTCTTATTTTCTCCTCAGCCCATTCCAGTGCACCACTAATCCATTTGTGAATGTGGACATCAAACCAGGCCGATAAAGGGAGAGTTTTCTTTGTCTAACAAAGGCCTTTTGCCAGATTTCAGTTGAGTAGAGGGGCTTACTTACCGAGCTTGACATGCCCGAAGCAGAAGATGCAACCGTCCGCACCGTTCACCACAGACTGGATGACCTCAGACACTGTCCCTGAGCACACCTCTGCCTGCAAAGAGAGAGGGAGAAAGAGAGAGAGATAGAGATGGAGTGGTTAAAGAGCATACACTATATCTGCCATTCCCCTTTTAGAATTGTGTACATTCAAACAGAATTGGAATATCAAGTCATTGCCAAACACACATACACATACAAAGTATTTTCTATTTGAGAATCTCCAATTATTTCTACAAAAACATAATTCTAGCTATCAAACACAGGAGGAGCATCAGGAAGACAGGCTCTGATCACAGATTCAGAGGGCGGCGTCAAAAGGATCGAGTGTTGCAATGTGTGGCTCATCTTTACAATCTGTTTCACCACCATGGCTCCACTGGGGCAAGGCTTCTGCTGCAGACAGTGATCTCCTCCCATACATAACACAGCAAACAAGGCCTCTTACTGCAGAACAGCTTTCTGTTACTGTTAGCCGCCAGCAGTGTGGTCCCAGCGGCACAATCTAGCAGCCACGTCTCAGAGTCTGCCTTACTGGAGCAGGAGCAGGGCTATCAGCCCCTATCAGCTGGCTCACTGTGGAGGAGATGTATCTGATGGAGGAAGCTCTGAACCTTACCCTCACTGTGGAGACACTGATCCATGCTGTAGGCCCTGTGGCTACTGACTCTACCAATACTTGATGAGATCCCCCATGGTTCAGCTTCTCAAACCTAAAGATTGTACGCTTATGGGGAGCAACACAAAGCTTGAGTCGCTTGGTTCATGTTCCCTTTTTAGTAGGCACTAACAGCATGTTGCCTCACTTCTAAATCTCATCTCTTCAACAATCAGTTCAGAAGATACTGAGCGATCAATGGAAATCTCAATGGTTTTGTTGAGAGATGTTTCTAAACAGACCTCTATGAAAAATGTTGTCTGGATGTTACTCAATCATCGTCAAGTAAACGTCCTCAGTGTCTGGCCCTTTGATCTTAATTTGGGCATGGCTCTACTAGACTGTAAGGTCTGGACTGGGAGAGGAGAGGTTAGATATAACTGGATTATGAAAGGAGAGGTTAGATATAAGTGGACTGAATTAGATTCATTCCCCAGACTTAAAAGGGCCAGCTGTTGAGGCCCATAATGGGAAGAATGCCCCCGACCAAAGACAGGCATTTTTCTACTAAGCCCCTGGACCGCACCCAGCCAGCATAAAGACATCCTCCTGCCCCCCTACACACACACACACACACACACACACACACACACACACACACACACACACACACACACACACACACACACACAGAGAGAGACTCCTCAACTGCTTGGTCCTTACTTGAGAGGCATCCTGGGTAAACACTGCGTCGAAGGCGAAGATCTTTGGGACTGCCACTGTGGCCCTCCTGTGCCCTGAGTTGGCGCGGTCGATGACCGAGGGGTCGTAAAGGGTCAGCTGCTTCTTCCTGGGGTCCACCTTCAGGAAGGACATGGACTCTGATGAATCAGGAGCCTCCAGGGAGGGGCAGATACGCATCATCACTTTTACCTGCAACACGAGAGGAGAGGAGAGAGAGCCAAGAACATACATATAAGCAAACATAAGCAAACATATGGTGAAAGAACGCACATTAAACACAGATAAAGCAGGCACATAAAATAGCTAACATGATAGACACACAGAGTTACAGGGGACATAGGAGGAACTTGTAGTGGGGAGAAAATGGACATGTTGAAATCACACGGCAACGCTGAACCTGGATAAACATAATTTCCATCATGTTACCATGGAGACAAAGGTTACTCCTGACAAATGGACCACCATTGCATGTTAAGCTGCCAGTCATGGGTCAACACATGGGCCTAATGGTGTCAATGTACAGCTGATATTGTAAATCATAACAGTGAATGTAATATGGGCCCTTAATGACTGTGACTCTGAGCCGCCCACCATGCTGAGGGATTATCCAACCAGCAGGCTGCTCTCTGGACCAAGAGCAACTCTGACTGCAGCTCTGCAGCATGGGAACATATGGCCCCGCTTTTTCTCTCCCTCTCTTTCTCTGTCTATCTCTCGCCGTTGCTCTCTCTCAGTCTCTCTGTCTCTCTCTCAGAGAGACAGGATCAATCTGGGATCTGTACTGTCTATACTTAGATTCTGTCCCTAGATTCTGTGTCATTTCAGTTGTCACGGTACACCATGATCCTAACACAGTATGGTAAACAGGATGATATATGTCACTGGTCATGTTTAAGGTGTTGATTTACTACACCTCTACTGTGACATGTCTCCTCTAGTCTAATGTTGTAACTATGTTATGGCCATGGCATGTCTCCTCTAGTCTAATGTTGTAATTATGTTATGGCCATGGCATGTCTCCTCTAGTCTAATGTTGTAATTATGTTATGGCCATGGCATGTCTCCTCTAGTCTAATGTTGTAACTATGTTATGGCCATGGCATGTCTCCTCTAGTCTAATGTTGTAATTATGTTATGGCCATGACTTGCGGAGGCATTCTGCCAGCTGTGTCTGATGGTACTTCCTGAACTGGAGAAAGTGGAGTAAGGTTTCATCTGCATGCACATCACGTTATATGTAAGCTGTGTGTGTGTGTGTGTGTGTGTGTGTGTGTGTGTGTGTGTGTGTGTGTGTGCGTTTTCATCTATGTCAGTCTCCCTGACAAGCCTCCTCAAACACAATCACACCCTTTTTATTCTATGACAACTGCAACACCATTTATAAAGAACATGTAGGAGTGGATGGTTCCTCTGATAAGAAAATCATCTTCACTCACTCTGTCAACATTTGATTGTGAAAACTCAACCTTGACTCTTGTAGTATGACAGACAGGAGACATATACATCTGTGTTGTCAGGAAGTGGTGGATAATGGTGTTTCTCCTCCCTGACAGCTCAGTGTGTTTAGGGTTTAGCATAGTGGTAGTCAATCCACTGAACCAGTGCATCGGCATGCTTCCCCTCCTCCTCCATGGTTACAAACAGCTTGAGCTTTAACAACCATGCATTGATAACGAATTAAATCTGGGACAATAAAAATAATGTATAAAAACATCACACAAAAACGACTGTGAGAGGCTGTGCGATATGTGGCAGCCGATTACAACTCTAACTGTTCCCCTACCTCCCCTTTATGCAAAGGCAGCAAAGCTGACACAGGGCTGGTCCTTTCATCCTCTGTGTGTCTCTCCTGTGTCATCCATGCCCACACAAAAGGCCTTTTCTTCCCCTGGCTTGTTCATAAATATTGCCACAAATCCCGGCTCTGGCGCTAAGGAACAATGTGTGGTGGCGAACCCATTCTGCCACAGAGGGAATTCCTCTCCGGCTTTCTGGCAGCTGAGTGCAAACTCTCTTTGTGCTCCGTGGGGGGCTGTTATCATGACTGACATGTACATATGTTAAGCAAATTACATTTGCTATGACATTTAAACAGCCTTCCATATATGACTGCTGACGCTGGCCGGCCCGCCAACCGGGCGAGGGAGCAATAGCTACCGTCTAGAGCTGCTATATTTACATTGGCAGAGATGTGATATCAGGGGCCGGTGAGGATCAGCTGGAGCCTCTGCTGCATTTTAACACCTCGGGCCCTTCTGCTAATGGCCCTGTTCTCCTATGTCTTGATCCCACCAAGAAATCCATTAGCTGGGATTTTCCCCCAGCAGCCACCCCTCCTCATGTCCAAACCCTCCACATGACACATCGCCTGGGTCAGCAATGACATCAACTGTCCATGGATGGACAAGTGTGTCTTGAATAAATACATAACAAAACATCACCCATGCCTCTCAGTGTTTCAGTCACTTTTTGACCACAGAAAATGCATACTGTAGATTAGGGGGAAAGGAGCTGGGATGAATTGTCTACCGTAGACAAAAGAATGTTGGCAACTCAAATCGTGTTGGCTGCGGTTCCTCAAACATGCATTGTTTCACAGCAGTGAACTCTTGGTTGCCTGAACCAGGTGACTCCAAACTGCAGTACTGTCCGAGACACAATGACAGAGGTTGAGTTTCCCATAACAGCCTACTTAATGAAGAGGAAACCTGGGGTTATAGACTCAGAACAATGCTGTAAACAAGCCGATTTCCCTTTCAAAACAACCCTGTGGCTGTCACATACTGCATGTCTAGCTCAGTAAAAGGTGTAGGGAGAGGAAGCTTGTTAATAACGCTGGTGTTTTATGAAGTGAGATTCACAATATGGGACAATATCTCAATGGTGTGGAAATTTGGCAAAGTAAGCAACGACTTCCCAACCAGGTGGGACCTAATCTTGTTCTTCTGCTATGTAAATACAGGATCTCAGCCCAGCAAACAATACCCAATAAACCCTAGAGGAAGGGTGTGTTTATACAGCACTAACACTATTGACAGACCAATCATCGCCATCCTGCTCGATTTCATCATCAGGTTTATGGAACGCAGCTAGCAGGAATTGTATTTATTCAATTATTTTATTTAACATTTATTTATTGTCACGTTCGTCGGGAACAGAGGAGGACCAAGGCGCAGCGTTGAAAGCAAACATACTCTTTTATTTGTGATTACCAGAACAAAACAACAAACGATACGTGCAGTCCTACGGTAAAAACCAAAAGGAACAAGATCCCACAACCACTGTGGGAAAACAGCCTGTCTAAATATGGTTCCCAATCAGAGACAACCAGCAACAGCTGACACTCGTTGCCTCTGATTGGGAACCACTCTGGCCAACCTAGAAATACAACTACTAGAAAAACAAATGAAACTCACACCCTGGCTCAACATACAAGTGTCCCCAGAGCCAGGGCGTGACAGTACCCCACCCTAAAGGCGCGGACTCCGACCGCGCCAACTAAATACCACAGGGGAGGGACCGGGTGGGCACTCCGCCTTGGCGGCGGATCCGGCTCCGGGCCTGATCCCCACTCCCTCTCCAACCCCCCAAAGTACCCCATGTCCGGTCTGGCCCCGCTGGCCGGAGCTGGACTGCACACTGGTGGAGCGGATTGATCTAGCTCCGGCGTGAAGCAGCTGACCGGTGCCGGACCAGGCACCGGTGGAACAGGCACGGGCCGTGCCGGACTGACGACGCACACCACTGGCTTGGTGTGGGGAACAGGCACGGGCCGTGCCGGACTGACGACGCACACCACTGGCTTGGTGTGGGGAGCAGGAGCGGGCCGGACCGGGCTGGCGACGCGCACCATTGGCTTGGTGCGGGGAGCAGGAGCGGGCCGGACCGGGCTGGCGACGCGCACCATTGGCTTGGTGCGGGGAGCAGGAGCGGGCCGGACCGGGCTGGCGACGCGCACCCTTGGCCTGGTGCGGGGAGCAGGAACAGGCCGGGCCGGGCTGGCGACGCGCACCATAGGCTTGGTGCGGGTAGCAGGAACAGGCCGGGCCGAGCTGGCGACGCGCACCATTGGCTTGGTGCGGGGAGCAGGAACAGGCCGGGCCGAGCTGGCGACGCGCACCATTGGCTTGGTGCGGGGAGCAGGAACAGGACGGGCCGGGCTGGCGACGCGCACCATTAGCTTGGTGCGGGGAGCAGGAACAGGACGGGCCGGGCTGGCGACGCGCACCATTGGCTTGGTGCGGGGAGCAGGAACAGACCGGACCGTACTGGGGACACACACCACTGGCCCTCCGCAGGGATCTGGAACGGGCCGGACCGGACTGGTAACACACCCCAGTACCTCTCGCCGTGCCTCTACACCTTCCTTCCCCTCTTTGACCAGTGGCCCCCGTAACCTGGCGGCCTCCTCTGCCAACCCGCTGGGCCGCTCTATCGCGGTCTCCTGCTGCCCCATCGTCCACGGCGTTAGCCCCCCCCTAAAAAATGTCTGGGCTTCTCTCCTACCCGTGGACCAGGTCTCCATACTTTTCGCCAGCCTTTCGCCCTTCTGCTTCCACGTCAAGCCCCTCTCTTGCTCACCCGGCTTGACCCAGTCGAGGAGGCGCTGGATATCCGCCAGAGATCTCCCTGGCGATGGCTCCTGGACCCGCTGCTTGGTCAAGTTCTGGTGGGATCTTCTGTCACGTTCGTCGGGAACAGAGGAGGACCAAGGCGCAGCGTTGAAAGCAAACATACTCTTTTATTTGTGATTACCCGAACAAAACAACAAACGATACGTGCAGTCCTACGGTAAAAACCAAAAGGAACAAGATCCCACAACCACTGTGGGAAAACAGCCTGTCTAAATATGGTTCCCAATCAGAGACAACCAGCAACAGCTGACACTCGTTGCCTCTGATTGGGAACCACTCTGGCCAACCTAGAAATACAACTACTAGAAAAACAAATGAAACTCACACCCTGGCTCAACATACAAGTGTCCCCAGAGCCAGGGCGTGACATTTATACAGGGTGGGTCACCATTGAGACCAGGCTCTCATTTGCAAGGGAGCCCTGTGAACATGAACATACAATAAATAATATCAATACAATAAATACAACAGGATTAATGAAAACAAACACAACTCTCATATCACCTCCCTTAAACTCGATCTAAACTGTCCAATGGAGACCAGCGAGTCTAATTTCAAGGTGGCCTGAAGCCTATTCCACGAGCTGGGGGCATAAAAACTAAAATAATTTCCCCCCAGATCAGTGGAGACCCGCGGGACCTCTAGAACCAGCCAGTCCAGAGAGCGGGTCTGAAAATTGCTGGATCTCTAGTTAATATGTGCGCTGAGGTAATGGGGGAGTCTCTGAAGAACTGCTTTATATACAAAAAGTAGCCAATGCTGGGCCCTTCTGGTAGTCAGAGACTCCCAGCCAACAGAACTATACAAAATGCAGTGATGTGTAAGAACATTGGAATGAACATTGGAATACGCTGTAGTAATGTTTGCAAACTTTTAGCTTTTAAAGGTGAGATAGGTTTCAAAATGTGAGATTCTGTCATTGTTCTACTTACCCATAGTCAGATGAACTTGTGGATAACATTTTATGTCTCTGCGTGCAGTATGAAGGAAGTTAGCGAAACTTCCTTCAGGTACAGTAGCATTGCTACCAGGCATTTAACATTGCTACTGTACCTTTAGACTTCCAGTCATTGCGCTAACGCTAGTTAGCATTAGCTCAAGAAACTACCGCTGACTTCCTTAATACTGCAAGCATAAACATAAAAATGGTATCCCACAAGTTAATCTGACTCTGGGTAAGTAGAACACTCGCAGTATCCCTTTAAAGTGAATTGGATTGAAGTTTTGTGTTTTCTTTCCCTCACAAACTGTAGTCCATTCAGAGGGAGGAATGCGGCCATAACAAACTGAGTGAATTCATGACATTCCAGCAGGCTTATCTGTCTGCATCTGTATGGACTGGACCAGACGACTGGCTGTCTATGTACTAATGCGTCGCCACTGTGCATTCTCCCATTTAAATGTCAGTCATTCATAAACATTTGCATGTGCGTGCATACTGTAGGCCTGTTTGCGAGTAATGCCTGTCGCTCCTTACCTTTCCCATCCCGGGGTTCTCCTTGACCTTTGAGACGGCGCGGAGCAGGCATGGAGGGGCGGGGGGTGGCGAGAGCTGCAGGATGCCGCTGAAGTTGGTGGGGTAGATGGAGGGCTCCTGGGCTCCAGAGTGCAGCAGGGAGGGAGGCTGGTGCTTCTTCCGCTTGGACGAGAGGTTCAGCTTCTGAGCTGCCCTGGGAGGAGCAAACACAAGAAGAGTTTAGCCTAACTTCAAAAACATACAATTTAGCCAGCCATCTGTAATGTGCTGGGCAGGAAGGAAGATAAACTTCATAGGAGCCACCACGCATTTATATTTTTCATAGTGAGGTATCCAACAGAGAGAGGGCTGTATAATCATTCAGCTGATTGATTTAATGGTCAGGGTTGACATTTGTGAGGGTGTGCAGAGCCTTTAGAAGCCACACTGAGACTGTAGAGGAAAGGTCAACAAGCTCCTTTTTCTCTTTGCCAAAGTAAACAAAGTTGACAGGAGAAGGCCGCTGTGCCACCACTCTCGACCCTCCTCCACTCCCAACGCTACCTCCCTTTCAACTCCCCACTCCCTACCTGTGGCCAAGGCTTTGTAAAATGCTTCAGTTCTCTACTTCAAAACAGTACTAACATAAAATTCACAAATGCTTTAATTTCAGCACTGCAATTGCTAACGCACTGCTATGGAACTAAAGACACAATCAAGCCCAATTATGCAGCAGGGCTTTACAGGTGTCTACATAAGACAAGCCGCCATGACACCTGTATTGTTAGTAGGCCAGCTGGTGGTTGTCATGGTGCTAATATACACTAAATGGATCCATTTATCTTCTTCAAACAACACAGGAACATGCCAGGAACATGCCAGGTAAGGATGGCTGGCACAATGTTGCCTTACAGGCAATGGAAATGTCTGTCCTCATTATAGAATTGAAATGTTCTGCTATTTCATATGTTACTCAGGTATATATGTGAAGCTTGTTAGAGGGGCCCTGGTCATGTCTCTTGAAAACCATGACTGATCCCTGGATCCCCCATTCACTGAGTCCCCTGATAGACAGACTTGGTGAGGAGAGTGAGAAATAGATAGACCTCTCCTGGTACTGTGGCCTAATTAGACCGTCTTGTTAAGTGGATGTCTTTAAGCAGCACGCCTCTCAGGGTAAGATCCGGCTGTGTGATGGGACTCTAAATAAATCCACGGCCATCCTGCGCTCTCGCTCTCGCTCTCGCTCTCGCTCTCTCTGTCTCTGTCTCTGTCTCTGTTGCTCTCACTCTCTCTCTCACTCTCTCTCACTCTCTCTCACTCTCTCCCTCTCTCTCTCTCACTCACTTACTCTCACTCTGTCCTTCTCACTCTCATCCTCTCACTCTGTCCCTCTATCTCTCTACGACTCAGCGTTAGCGCTGGAGTGGCACAGATTGGTCACAAGGCCAACTGACGAGACGCACACATTCCTTTTAGTCTAACTGCAATACTACCAGCTCTGTAAGTCTGTAACATTAAGTCACACTTATAACAGCCAGCGATATGGCCTACTGTGGATCAGTTACAACCACACCTCATCTTAAAAGTCAAGGCCAGAGTAAAGGAACACCTACAGGAAATTCATATGCACTGAACACTTTTCAGTCACACAGTTCAGAATCGGAGAGACGCAAGAGACAAAAAATGGTTGTCAACAAGAGGAAGAGACAGAGAGAAATTAAGATGGAATGAGAGATGAAAACAGGAGAAATGTGGAGAGGGAGGGCTACAGCAAGAGCGAGAAAGAGAGAGAGAACCTGTCCATCCATGTGTGTCTGTCTCAGTGAGAGACTATTGCCTGAGAGCCCAGCAGCCTGAGCTCATTAGTCCTGCTCTGGGCTCCTCCGGACAAGGTGGGCGGCTGCCAAAATATACCCCCCTCTACCCCACTGGAGTGACAGCCCCCCCCACCCATCCAGTACAGCACAGCACGCCCCCTGCAGCGACAGCCCAAGAGCACAATCAGGGAACACACCGCTGGCTGATGAAATTATTATTACATCCAAGAGGGCTACAGGAGGAGGCTCTCCCCAGGGACCAGTCTGTGTGTGATAGCATGAGAGAGGGAGAGTGTGAGAGAGAAAATGAGATGGAATAGATTAATGTGAGATGGAGAAAAGGAAAGAGAAACTCAGCAATGCTCTGTGTGTGTATGAAAGGGAGTTTGCATTACACATTCATTGCTCAAGACAAAGGCTCTTTCTCTCGCTCCCTCTTTCTCCTTTCTCTCTCTCTCAGATTAGTCACATTCAGAGGTGCTATTGTAGAGATGAGAGGAATCTGCAAATATGACAAAGACACACAGCAACAAACAGTGAACTACAATTAACATTTGGAAAGCATTCACAGGTTCTATTTTTTGCTTATTCCCCTGTCCCTCTAAGTGCCCATATGGCATTGCAGGGTATGCCTGTAACCTTGAGGGTGAAAGCCAGTCACACAATGAGAAAAGGCATGTGCGTCTATTTGAAAGGAGGGAGAGAGAAAGGTGAGAGAGAGAGAGAGCAGAGAAAGAGTCAGGGTTGTGTGTAATTCTGTTGTTCCGTCAGAACCACTCAATGGGTGATGAGCAATAACAGTGAGCGCTCGCCTCTGTAACAACACACACACCCTAATGGGAAAATGAATTGCTTGTCACATGGCTTTCCCTCTCTATTTTCTCTCTCTCTCTTTCTCCCTTCCCAGTAAGAGGGAGCTGTCTGTGTGCACTCAATGGAAAATGTGGAGGGAGGAGAGGCTCAGATTCCCTCACCCACTACAGCTTGCCCACCTGTTCAACACCCATCTCTGTACTAATGAAGCCGTTTCAGTACACACCTTGGGTCTAAATATCTGAATGCATGCTCAAATACACCAAACACATTTCAGGATTATCAGGCAATACAGTGCTGCAGGTTGGCAGTAAACAAGAAGCCTCAGTCCCTCTGACATTTTTTTCTACAACATACATGGCAAATTATGAAGGTTTACTTAAGAGTAAATTGTCCAATAGTGCCTAAATACAATCTAATAAAATGCCAAGATAGTGCAAGAGATGGAGAGAAAGAGAGTACTTACAGCTCTTTCCAATCCATTATCTAATAAAAGTGCTCAAGCTCAACTTTAGGGTCCATGTCTCTGTTTCCAGGGTTCTCCATTACTTCAGCATTAGAGACGCAGGCAGAGAGCAGAAAGAGGCGGGGCCGATCACTGGCGGGGCCAAGAGGTGTCCTTTTTACTCCGATCGCAATCATTGACGTTTCCACTTGATTTCACAGCGGTTTGTAAGGAGCCAGGGGGACAGAGGAAGGGGGGAACCAACGTCATCCTAGCTGACCGGGACAAATCCAAGAAGGGGGTGGATAGCAGAGGTCCCAGTGAGGAGGTCCAGGGGGTTCAGACAGGTTCTCAGGATGGAGGGAGAGGAGGAGAAGGAGGAGAAGAGGAGGTCAGAGTAGAGAGAAGCACCTCCTCCTCTGTACATATTCCAGTGAAACAAACGCCTGTTCTGTGTCCACACCTCTCCACAAACAAAAGTTCAGCCTCAGTTCAGAGATGCAATACCTCCAACAGAGGCAGGCGCTCCAGCAGTCTGGCAAGACGTTCCTACTCGGATCTCTCTCTCTTTCACTCTCCTTTTCTGTCCTCTTCTCTTTCACTCTCTCCTTTTTATTCCCTTTCACTTCTCACTTTTTCTCTTTTCATCCAATAGCCATTGGTTTGTGTTTATTTCTTCCCTCTTTTTCTCTCTCCCAGTTAATCCATGCTGTTACATCTCTGCCGTGTGGCTGTAGCAGGGAGTCCTGATGGCTGTGTCCTTCCCTGTGCCCCGTGCCACTGGCTGAGGGAGGAGGGCTCGGCAGCAGGTAGCAGTCAGAGACAGCCAGGAGGTGGAGAGAGAACCAGTGTTAGCCTGGGCTGGGGGGGGCTTCAGGGGAATTGGGAATGGGGAGAATTCCTGCTCCCGCTCCGGCTCTCAATCCTGCTTCTTCTGCCGGAGAAATGCTGGCAGCTGTCCTGCCGTGTCTTCCTCTTCTCTCTCTCTTCTCAGCCCAGCCCCTTTTCCCTCCGACAGCCAGATGAGGTGTCAGTGCGCTACTGCTGGCTGCTCGCGGTCGCTCTCTCTGTCTCCACACACACACGCACACACACACACACACACACACAGACACGCACACACACACGTCGCATGAATACTTCATGCATAAAGGAACCCTCTCTTCTTTTGCCTGTCCCAGACTTCAAACAGATTAGGTTAGTATGCCTACAGCACATGCATGTGTGTGTGTGTGTGTGTGTGTATTTGTGTTTCTTTGTGTGGATTTGTGTTTCTTTGTCTTTAGCTGAGGATGTAATTAGTTAGATGAGATAATGTCATTAATTATAAGGAGTGACACATAGATAAGAAGTGAGATACTTAAGTGTGTGAAGATGGATAGACCACTACTGAATCAGATGCTGGCTGAACGATGCTTTCACTCAATGGAAAGAGAGAGAGGAGGACAGACAACGAGCAGATGACAGGTAGAGAGGCAGATTTATGCAGGGCAGACAGAGACAGAGAGTGCACTCACTCACTGGTCTGATCAAGGGTAAAAAGGGGAAAGCTGTGTGTGTGAGTGGGCGAAGCTAGTATGAACATAGCCTGTATTCCCACGACTGCCAATTTACCAGCAAGTCTTTTAGCTCTTCTCTGGTCCTGTTTAAAAGGCAGTCTGATTTCAAAAGGCAGTCTGATTTCTACACCATTAGGGCGAGCAGAGTGGCTCTGCCATTGAGCAGACATATACAGTGATTACAGAGCTTTCCCTCTGACACACTGCCCCATATCTGAGCTACAGTCAAGTGTGAGACACAAAACTATCTAGAATATATAATCTATAATACCCCCATAATGCATACAACAATTATTGTGCAGTGTCTTACATTGAGATAAATTCAATTCAGTTCACATATGAAACCTTGGTGTTTTGGGCAGTGATAAGGCAAACCCCACCCACCCTTGGCCACCACCTACCTACAAATCCACAGACCGCCTTCAGACCAAGACTGACAGTGATCAATAACTGTAAGACCAAACTAATGTGGACATTGGTCATCGTGACAATGGGATCACGCTTGATGTGGTTTCATGTGTACATCGAAACAGGGTAGGTATAGGGAGTCACCATTGGGCCAAACTGTCCATACAGCCTCTCAACGTCACCCTCTGTACAGACCCTTTGGACAGATAATGATTGTAATATATATATATAAATGAGCTAAGGTAAGATTAATGCAAGAGCAGCACTGGCAGCACAAATAAAGGCTCTGCTAGGCTTTTGTTAATGACAGAATGGACATCTATATTTGGGGCTGGCCTGCAGGGGGGTGCCTGCCTGCTGCTTCACAGTTTGGCCTGTTGTCAATAATCTCCCTAGCCCCCTTTTCAGGCTTTGTCAAATTAGCAAGAGAAATTCCTCTGGCCCGGAGAGTCATTAGCCGGCACACCCATTAGCTTGTTTGTGGAAATGTGTCTCTGTTCCTCAGCCCAGCACCATGGCTCTTTAGGTAACAGGGCCTTTTCCAGCCTAATTACCATGTTGGCCCCATTTACCATCCTTGACATTTTCTTTCTCTAGTTCCCCCTCTTTTCTCCCCAGACAAGATAACGGTGCTCTGGCCATTCATGCAGGGATCAGATCACTGGGGCTGATATCAGACTGCATTAGCCTCCCCAGCGTGGGTCCGCCTTCTCTGGTGATTAGCAGCAGCCAAGCTCATGTCTGTCTGAATGGAGATGGAAGCTCTGGGCTCCAGCCAGACTGTATATGTACAACACACTGATAACAACCACATCACAATGAACCCGGCTCAATGTAGAAGCAGACATGCTGGAGTCTCTGCTGCTCTCAACAGGTGAGCCTGGAGGTGAAATGTTTATAGGTTTGTAATGAATGAAAGGAATCGCTAAAACAGTGGCTTAAGGGTAGCAAACAAAGAAGTGCCACATGTGTTCAGGATTGATTGCGTGCATGTGTTTGTCAATCAGTAAAGGTGTGTTTTTAATTAAAGGAACAATCAATAGGATTTCCCCCCCTGGAGTTCACATCTGGTGTATACATCATCCTATTGATGGGCTGACCTTGACATGGGCATCTCCATGGCCACCATAAGTGTGAGAGAAACATACTACTATGTGTGCTTTCTGTTGGTGTCAAGTCTAGTTTCCTCAATATTATGAAAGGTGTACCGCAGGGGTCAGTATTGGGACCTGTTCTCTTTACTATTTATATAAATAATATTGGTCTATGTATTAAATCCTGTAATATTAATCTGTATGCAGATGACACGGTTACATATGCCATTGCAGTGACTGTTGACCAAGCCATGTTAGAGGCCAATCTGATTTTGTTGCATTACAGATAGCCCTTGTTGATTTAAAACTTGTACTTAATGCAGGCCAAATTAAATATATGTTTTTCTTTAATTCACAGAAAAATGTCTCAGACAGGCTACATATTCACTCATTGGATGGCTCGCTCATCGAGCGGGTTCCCGCCTATAAATATCTGGGCGTTTGGATTGATAAAGATCTAACGTTTAAAAAACATACTGATGAGTTGGTTAAAAAGCTAAGATTTAAAGTGGGCTTCTTTTTTTAGAAATAGATCATGCCTCTCCCTAAACAACAGGAAGCAGATTGTGCAGTCAACTTTCCTGCCACTTCTTGACTATGGTGACACCATTTACCAGACTGCAGAAGCCACTACTCTTAAACCATTGGATGCCGTCTACCATAGCGCCATTCGCTTTATTACAGGTGACAGTTTTAATACTCATCACTGCATCCTGTATCAGAAGGTTGGCTGGACTCACTAAAATCCCATAGATCACTTAATTACTGCCTTCTTGTTTAGAAAAGCTCTGCTCCACAAGCTTCCAACATACTGTACCTCACTTCCCTGTTGAAATATAAAAATATAAGATACCAAACTCATTCACAGGGTTGGTTAACTCTTGAGGTCCCGCTTGTCTCCACAAAGTTTGGTAAATCCGCCTTTAGTTTTAACGCACCATAGTAATGGAATACCTTACAAAACAAATTCCACCTGGATTCCCTGGTGCCGATAGGGCAGTTTAAAACTCTTTTGTTAAATGAGTTCTCTGAAGTATGCAATTGTTTCAATTGACTATTATAACTTGTTGTCATAACCTGATGTAATGTATTTATAGCTGTCTTGTAGTCTTTTATATTTTGTTGTCGTATTGATGGAACTTTTGTCCTCAGGGCACCATTGCAAATGAGAAAATGATCTCAATTGGGCTCCCCTGATTAAATAAATACATGTATGTTGTATGAAGTCCTATGGACAGCTGACACAGTGGCTCAACTGTAAGGGAGAAACAGAGGGTTTGTGGGACTGCTGTATTATATCATCACACCTTGGCACCAAAACAACCCCAATCGTCCACCTCTACAGAACACCGACAGTGTTGAGGACAACAACAGCTCGCCAAAATTCTGTTGGAGTAAACAACATCTGCATCTCTGCAGTGGCCTGGATGGCCGGAGAACCAGGTCACGTCCAGACTGACCCAACAGACAGACCATCACTAAGCCTCCCTCTGATTAAGCTGAGATGACATCAGGACAGGCTTGGGCAGGGGACTGGACACAGAGATGATGTCATAGTGTAGCCCAGGCCTAGCAACAGACAGAGCACACCACCGCACCACACCAAGATTTAGTATCAGGGTCATCAGGTTGATCATTAAAGACGTCCTCCAGCGATTTGTTTAACGTTTACTGTTGAAAAGCGATATCCCAAGTATAAATACCATAAAGTACACACACTAAAGGGTAACAAATACATATTTTTTGCAAAATAGTGTTTTTTATACACAACTGCAAAGTTCAAGGAGTGGGGTGTTCAATGAATTGGTCTGATGGGAAGTCGTGATGTCATCGGCCTCCCCCTTGCTTGAGGATCAATAAAGAACAAAAGTAGAAAGGCTGCACTGATCCCTGGCCAGCTAAAGCAGAATCCATACACATACAAATACATACAGTGCAGGGTATATTCATCTATTCGCAAAGCACAGAAACTGTGAAAATTGTAACAGAAAATATTGTTGCACTATAGTGCTATAATATCTATAATATGTTTTGCTCTCCCCTTTTGGTTGAGTAAAGCAGAAATGGCACCATTCTGTGTAAAGACATCACAATCTCTCATGGTCTCCTTAGCATTCAAGTGAAACTGCATGTGGAGTTATGTGGGAAAGGAGGGATTAAGGCAACCACAGAGAGAGAGAGAGAGAGAGAGAGAGAGAGAGAGAGAGAGAGAGAGAGAGAGAGATAGAGAGAGAGAGATAGAACGAAAGAAACTCACTGTCCCACTAAGAGCCAACACATACATACTCAGGATATTACATGAAGAGCAGACTGTGAAATAGAAAGAGAGCTGAGATGGAAGAGAGAAGAGATATCAAGTAAAGACA